GTGATCCTCCTGCCCCCAGCCTCCTGAGCCACTAGAATTACAGGTAAGTGCCACCATCCTGATGAGGATAAATTTTAAAATTAACAAATAATAAATGGGTGCAAAGTTATTATTAGATTAGAGGAATAAGTTCTGGCATTCTGTTGCACAGCAGGGTGAATATAGTTAACAACGAGTATAATAACTATAACCATTGTATATTTCAAAACAGCTAGAAAAGCAGATTTTGAATGCTCCCTTCACAAAAAAATGATAAATGTTTGAGATTATATACATGCTAATTAGCCTTATTTCATAATTACACAATTTATACATGTGTTAAAATATTATAGATTTTAGAAAGATGGCAACTTTTTGAAAATCAAGTTTTCAGTGATTTGTTTCCAGTGGCAACTTTCTTTCAGCCTGTAGCATGTAGCATTAGGATCTTAGATACAGAAATCATCCCTCTCTGTCTGGGTATGTAACATACTGTCCCCTTAACAAACAAAAAATATCCAGGGTAGTGATCTGCCTTTGGGTTGGGGAAAGGAAACACGGCACATATACCAGAGTCACTGGGGACATTTTTCCAAACATGCAGCCTTCCACCTGTTGCTGTGTATATAAGAATGGAAATTAGGGAGTTCACATTCTTTTAAGCACTCTTGATGATTTTGATACATTTTCTGCTCTAAAAAGATTCTTGGCCTCCCTCGAGTAACCCAATCCAAGATCTTACACTTTTTTCCTGCCAAGAAGTTCCTTATATTTACTTCTCACCTATTCCTTCTTGGTTTAACTCTCACTGAAGATAGAGGATAATTCACAAGCATCATGCATATGCATACACAGGGGAATGTGAATAATGACCATGTTCTCAGGGACCAGGGGAGCCATCTGGTTGGAAAACTCAGCATCCCCAGTGTTGAAATAATCTCCTGGCCAGATGTTTCCTTCACCGGTCAGAGCAGGGCACAAAGGTCCCAGTGGAAGGCTCTCTGGACCCTAAGCTTGTTCAGCTGGATCAGCTGCAGGTGGAGCAAATGGGACCCAAGGGCCCCATCAGGTCACCTTGCTGAGTATGACTCAAGCCAGCAGCCCTTTATTTCTTCCTGTCTCTCCCACTTCCCACCACTCATCTCTGTGGGCAGCCGCCAGACCCGGGAACAAGAGTCAGGCAGGGGGAGGAGGTAGTTCTTAATGGATACTCCAGTTCTTCAGTGGTTTGGGGTCTGGCAGAGATAATCCAGACCTGCAACAAATTGGCTCCTCCCCTGATGTATTTCGGTTAATGCACTAGCTGCCGAGAAGCAGCCAGGCCCAGAGCAACAAAATCAATTCCCCTCATCTGAACAACAAGCATAAACTTAACCCCCAGAGCTCTTTCTCTTGTGCCTTTTATCCATGGAGTTTCAAATGCTGCCCAGGTTTGACTTCCTGCCACTGGCAAAACCCATCTCTGAAAATTAGATCCAAGATCTGTGAAGAGCAATAGGTAATGGTCATGTGCCAAGGAGATCCTAGAAAATATGGAACATCCAAGCAGTCTTCACCATTCCTTCACATTTGGTATAACCTTGACAGCCACCAGTCTTTAAAAAAGAAGCAGGATGGCTGTTAACATTGGCCAGTGTTTCAGATAGGGTAGCTATAGAAGTCTAGCAATCTGGCCCAATATTATTCCCTTGCCTGAGATAAACCTGGTAGCCTAGCCTTGTTCTTGACCCTTTGTAGGACTACTGTCAAGTGATACTTTAATCTTGAATGTAAAAGACACTCATCAAAATGTGAACACCATGACCAAGTTCCTACACATGAGGGTTTTGGGAAATATAGAATGGCAGAATCATTTGACATGAAAATGGAATTCATATTTTGACTTCTTCTGTATGACACTGCCCCTCAGTCAAACTTCTGTCCCACTTATCCTCTAGGAATGTCCAAGTCCCTGCTTCAATAATTCCCTTTGAGTTTCTAGACCTAGGAGGTAAGATCAATTAAAATGCATCATATGGAGAACTATGAGGGTTCTTCCATGAAAGTTTCAGTCAAGTCCCCAAGAGAAAGTAAGATATTAATGCTTGGAGTCTGATGAAGGCTGTTGTTACTGCTCTTCTGATTCCTGCCCTTAGACTCTCCTCCTTTTCTTTTGAGAACTGGAAACTCTCAAAAAGGCAAGCAGGACTAAGTTGTCACTCTCTTGTCAGAAGACAAGAAAGCTCAGGGGGTTAATAGCTCTACACAGAAGCCTGGAAAAATAAAAAGTATATGAACTAACCCAGATCTCACATGTCCTGTGTATCCCAACATACAGTAAATATTTCTTTAGCCGCACATTCATCCTTTCTAAAGTTAACTGAACACCTGCTCTGTGCCAGGCACTGAGCTGGGACCTGGGGCTATAATTTTGATGGGAAGGATTCTATCTCTCCTGTCAGTCAAGTGTCAATTGCTAAAATAAGGTTTCCATAGAAGTGCTCAATTAACAATAACACACCCAAGAATATAGGTGAAAGGTGATACCAATTCAGTTCCCAAAGTGGCACTCCATGTGGTACCCAGGGAGTTCCCCAAGGGAAATAAAATCATTGGCTTATATCAGTATTAGCATCTGATGGTTTGGTACCATGTTTTTTAAGGAAAAGAAAGGAACTGTTCTAATTAAACTTTTCAGTGTGGCTAGAAAACCCATCAGTGACTAAAATGTAGGAAAATTCAGAGATGAGGGTAACTAAAACGGTAACTCAGATTTTAGATTTTTACAATGAGAATATGTTCAAAGAAAGAACCAGAAAGCATCCCCTCAAGTGGTGCAACAAGAAAAATCTGGGGCTTTACATATGCAGGCCAGGAAACCATGGTATCTTAGTCCAGGGTTTCTCAGTCTTGGCACTATCAGCATTTGGGACTGGATGCTTTTTAGTTGTTGAGGTATAGAGGTGTCTTCCTCTTGTGAATTATAGGATGATGAGCAGTTCCTTTGCTTTACCCACTTATGTCAAGAGCTACCTTCCCAAATTTCAATAACCAAGAATATCTCCAACCTAGGCTCTATGGTGCACACCTATAATTACAATGACTTCAGGAGGATGAGGCAAGAGGATTCTAAATTTGAGGCCAACCTCAGCAACTTAGTGAAGCCCTGACTCAAAATAAAACATAAAATAGGGCTGGGAATATGGCTTGGTAGTTAAGGGTCCCTGAGTTCAGTCACTGGTACCAAAAAAAAAAAAAAAAAAGTCTCCAGGCCTAATCAACCAGATGTCCTCTCGTGGGAAAGGGGATGCAAATCTATCCTCAGGTGAGAATCAGTGCCTAAGCTCATCACTACCATCTCACTTGAAGGCCAGTTAACTGAATGACATCATTGGAGAAAGGAAACAAAATTCAGATATGAACTGAATTTTCAAGGGGATAAATTTGAGGGGAATGAAGCACAGGAAAAGTCACATCATTTGCCCATAAGAGCCATACAGCACTGTGGTAAAAGAAATAGAGGTGAAATCCAACTTTCATGACTCTAGTCATCCATACTGTTGTGTTTATACAGGTGATAGTGTTGATGAATTAAATAATGATTCTAAAACCCTGAAATAACAATGAATTTATCAGTGAACTTTTCCTAGTGCCCCATCTAGGCTTAAAAATAGCACAAATATGCACACATATATTTATCTATCTAATTTGGGATTTCTTCTCAAATGGTCTAAATTAACTGCCTCCCATTGTCTTCCTGCAGTCCGCCATTATGGCATTTTGCTCTTTCCTAGCCCATCCAGACTCCCAGTGTCTCAGGTTATTTGCACTAAAATTAAGAGGAAACTGAATAAGTGAAAGGACATTGTAGGGTGGATCAAGGCCATGAGAAACCTGAGTAGAATTAGTGAATGGCCATCCAACAAGGATAAAGGAGTCACATACATTGTGTCTGGCACTTAGCATTTCACTAATTAGAGATGTATTTCTTTAATGAGGACTGTTAGTAATTAGTACCTATGTGTGTGTATTTATCAGATCACTGTCCTCTGAGATAACTACCAGAAAGCAGTGTTCTTCAGGATCAAGTTCATATTGAAACAAGAACACTAGAGCATGTGTTGCTGTCAATGGAAGACAGAAGTGAATAATATTCTCTTTATAATTTTTTTGCATTGAGAATAATTCTATTTCAGTGAATTTAACTATGCCAATCAGTGAAGTCCATAATGAAATAGGATTTTTGCTTTGCTTTTTTGTTTTTGTTTGTTTGGTAAGTAGTTTAGTTATAGATGGGCACAATACCTTTATTTTATTTAGGTTTTGTTTTTGTGGTGCTGAGAATTGAACACAGTGCCTTACACCTGTTAGGAGAGTGCTATAAAACTGAGCTACAACCCCAGTCCATTGTTATTATTTTTGTTTTTGTTTTACACATAATAATTATATACATTTATGGGGTACAGTGTAATAATTTGATACACGTATACAATATATAATGATCAAATCAGAGAAGTTAGCATTTCCATCTCCTTAAACATTTCTTTATGTTGAGGGCCTTCAAACTCTTCTCTTCAAGTTCTATATAAGATATACAATAAATTGTAGACTATAGTCACCCTACGATGATATAGAACACTAGAACTTATTCCTCCTAACTAACTATATTTTAACTTATCTTACCTCCATCTATTTCACTTTCTCTTTCCCCTCTTGGCCTCTAGGGACCACTATTGTACTCTGTTTTACTTTGAGATCAACTTCTGGATAATATTCTTAAATGGATACCCTGCAGGTGCAAAAATAAAGGCCATGCAACAAATATCAATTCTGCCTACTAGCCAATTTTTCTGGGAATAAAACCCTGATGTATGTTGCAATTTAGGAATTCCTAGACTACATATTTCAAAAAAGTCACCATTCATAACTTAGAATTAGATAAAGTGGAAGAGATGTGGGTGGATTTTCGCATAAGGCCATAATCCCCACATTCCCCTTCCTAAGGCTCTCCTACTTACTCAACCCCATGGACACAGTCTTACCTCCTACAAACTGTGCTGCTCCCATGCAACGTCCCATCATTCTGGAGATGAGTTCCTCCATGCAGCAGCCCAAGACAGCAGCCAGTGCCACCAGGAGCAGCAGAGCACAGCCAGCACCTGTTACCACTGTGCACATCTGCCAGGCCAGACTTGGTATGGCACTGAAGCTGGCATAGCGCCCACATTCTTCAACCATAATCAGACTGTGCCCCTCTCCCCGTACAGGGTAGTTGCATCTCCGGAATGTGCTGAATGACACTGGCTTCCCCAACTGGGATCCAAAGAGCCAGTAAGGCAGGAAGTAACTAGTAGAACTGGCCAGAGCAGTAACAAGGGACAGGAAAGCCCAGAGGGTCCCAACCAAGGTCAAGCTGCTCCTCATGGTCTCAGGTTTCTCTGCAGGGATGGGAAGATCAGTTGGGTCACAATACCAAATGGAAAAGTTAGCATGTAGGTTCCACAGGCTGATTTTTTCATCTAAACGACCAGTCCTGGGGTTCATTTATATGCCACTTGGCCCTTGCTTCTGCATGAGATTAGCCTCTCAAAGACAATTTGGGTCCTTTTGGGATCCTGCTTTCCATCTTTCTTTCCTTCTGCTTGGTTCAGAGTTCTGTAGTCACTATCCTGCAGTGGAATAATCATAGAACTGAATTAGTCACTGCTCTGCCAACCCAATGTAGCCAGATCCATCATCTTATAACTTGTGGCATACTGCTTAGACCTAGTGGTAGGAAGAGAATCTGTAGGAAGACAAAACTGCCTCAAGAGTCTCTGGGAATTCCAGCTGAACAGCTTTGCTGATCTGCAGGCTTGGAAACAGGCAATATCTTGAGAGGTGAGGAACAAAGTTTGTTTTCAGAAAGTGAAGAAGGAAGATGAATCACAGACCTGTCCCTTATGGATGGGCAGGAGACCTCACCGTGGAGCTATGAGATGTATCAATTTGACTTAGATAGGATGTCTAACAGTGTGTTACTGTAGGCTTTTCAGTGGGATACATCAGCCAAGTTGAAATGGATAGAATAAAATGATAGAAGCCCAGTCTTGTACTCTATTCCAGTCACTGAGAGACTACCATTCAGTCACTTTTCAGACAACCAAAATGGAAGGCAACATTCCAACCAGTGGTGTTTAACTCTAGACTGGCTACAAATAAAAGCCTCCTCATTGTTTGCTAGCTATAGTGAAGAAAGTTTCTCATGTCTCTCAAACAGATCATAATTATGCATTCCCTGCCTTGTAGCAGACATACATAGTTGTAAGGACCTTTCAAGGTCCTTTTTGGAACAAGTCATCTCAGCTTCAAGATGCTGAGAGATTTTCCAGATCTAGTCTCCTTAGCCCAGCTCCTAAATGGTTTTTACAGACCCTTCAATCAAAAATCCACCACTTCCTCCCAATCCATTAATCTGCCATTGCTTTCTGGCTAGGTTCTGTATTAGGGCGGCTGGAGACCACACTGCAGCTTGATGACAGCACTGTGAATGTCTCCAGCAGGCAGATGGTGGAGTATGTTTCAGAAACATCTCCATGATTCATCACCATTGCTAAAAGTTACAGGTAGTGAGGCTGGAGAGGGGAGATGGTGATAAGGCCCAAAAAAGGAGATGGACAGGAACTAGTATGGGGTTGCCACATTGCCAATTTGGGATGCTAAACAGGAACAAGTAGCAGTCATATTCAGAGTCTCAAGGTCTCAGACATGAGCCCTCTCACAAGCATCATCAAACACTGCCTGGCACAGGGTAGGTATTACAATTCATGTTTGTTTAATGAAACCCTTTCATAGAATCATCCAATTTCCAGACTGGCAGGGACCTAAATGAATCACCTAATCCAACCTTCTTGTTTTACATATGGGGTGAATTTGGACCAGTAAAGGGGGAAGTGATTTTCCCCAGTCACAGTTAGCAAGCAGCAACACCGGAAACAGAAACCTGATCTGCAGATTCCTAAGCCAGCACTTTGCTACCACACAATGCTAACCCCCATTCCCATCACTTTACAGATGGGGAAATGGAGAGGAAGTGATTTACCCAAGGGTAAAAGGCTAGCAAGGTACACTGGCCAAACCAGAGCCTAGTTATTTAATTCTTAGTATAATGTTCTTTTTTTCTCCCCACCACAATTCCCTTCTTGATACATATGTATTTTGTGCTGTGTGTTTTGTGCAGGAAGGGAGCAGAGATCGTAAATTGCAGGTGCTTACTTTGGAATGTTAGGGTTTGGGAAGAAAGTGCCCTGAGCTGGGCCCCTGGGAATAAGGCTTTGTGCCTGAGAGTGGAGGGAATGAGAGAAAGATGTGATGAGGGATTGAAGGCAACAGGGGGAGAAATGGAACTTGTTTTGAGTAATTGCTGTTAGAAAAGCAGGTATCCTTGGCCACAATGACGTAATGTTCCTGCTAGTTATGTTGGAGTTTGTATGATTATGAAAAGCACAGGCAGCCCTCTGTTATGGATTCATTTCCTGATGAATAAACCCAAGCCAGAACAGGAGAGAAAAAAGTTGATAAATAGTTACTGGCAGCATCATCACAATCCTTTTTGAACACATGTGCTCTGCTAAACCATCTTCTTAGGATAGTAAGAAAGTGGGTATTATCCCTCAATTAACAAAGAAAGTAAACTGAGGGTCAGAAAGCAAGGTGACTTTTCCACCTCTCCTTCATCTGCAGCCTTCCCCCATAGCATTACCCCAGTAGTATTATATATCACCCCACTAGTATTATAATTAAAAGCCTCCATGACTCCCCATTTAAAACTTCAAAAAATATTTAAGAATGGGGAAGAATTTGAGAAGAAGATAGGGAAGGTAGGAGAAAGGCCAGTTTACCCAGACATACCGTGAGAAGAAAAGTATCAGCTTTTAAAGCTTAGCACTTGGAGTCTGAAGTAACCCCATATGTCCCCCATGCACATTAACCTTGAGATCAAAAGTTCTCATGTGACAACCAGTACGAGGAACAGAGAACCTAAGACAGAGGAAGTGATTATATATCAGTGAGTGGTACCCAGACTATGATAGAAAAAAGCAGAAGGATTCTGATATAAGGTTGACCCCATCTGTGACAAATAAGGCTGTTAAGTAAACTATTATACTATCTACCACTGTCACAAAGATTTCATTTTACAAGTGGCATTCAGAAGCCAAGATGTAGGAAAGATGAATTTCAAAATTCATTTGAAATGTGTTTAGCTGTAAAACAAAACAAAACAACAACAACAAAAAAAACCTCATTGCCCTTCAGAATTTAAATTAAGTACTTTCAATTTTAGGGGGAAAAAAAAAACAAACCTCATTGTCCTTATTTCATTTAGGATTAGGGTGAATGACCATGCCAGTGTGCCTGGGACTGAAGAATGTTCTGGGATGTGGGACATTCAGTGATAAAATCAGAAAAGGTTCAAATAACCTGGAATGAGATGGTCATCCCATTTAGGACTAGAGATGTTGTAAGCCAGAACCATCCATGAGAATCACTGACCCAAAAATTTGTTAAGTTTTTCTCCCCAGAAGTTAAAAATGACCATGGAATTCCACATTGGAGAGAAAAAACCTCTAAAATCTGAATGTTTACCTTTCTGAATCATAGACTTGACCTTATGAGTTCAAGGAATAGATTTCAGAGATTCAATCACTCATTATTTCCTGAGCACATAAGCTTCAGCCTGGCTTCTCCCATGGATGGGTAGGAAAGCATCAGGACATATGGGGTCTAGATTCACACTGCTCCAGTGTACATGTGCTAGACAGGGAAGTGCATTTTATCAAATGCTTTTAGTTCCATCACCTGTAATGAAGTAATCCTCTTCATGACAGTTCTTCAAAGTGGTCCAAGTTCATTCCTAGAAACTGGTTATGTCACTTTGGATTCACATCAATAAAAATCACAAACAATGCTACACTTAATTCTATCCTAATTCCTTGTGTATGCTTCTTGTATGCAATAACTTTGCTTCCCTGTCTGGAAATGTCACACTGTATTTCAGGAGCCAAGAACTCACCATAATTCTCTTGCTGAGTGGTCCAGTAACCAACTGGGCATTGATAGAATTGCATTTGATTCTCTCTTTAGGTATTACATTGTCTTTCTCCCTTAGTTTATCCATTTGCTAGATTAGTCATATGCCTATTTCTAAGAGTTTGTTGTATGAGATATACTTAGTGTGGTCAGAATGTTGTAATGCGGAGGGTGGAAGCATGGAGTCTCTCCTACATTCAGTGTCCTTCCCAAAGTCTAATGTTGATTAATCTTTAAAGATATGCTAGCTATTCTAACACTGCCCCATAGGTAATGGTCACCTCAACCCACAGAATGTAGGAAACCCACCTAAGCCATAAGCCATGCATGTCAAATGGTCATTTCTACTACTTTTAAAGAAAAGTAGTAGAAAAAGTACGGAAAGGGTCATTTACAAATTTTCACAGTAACTTAACAATTCTCACTGTTGATAAATCACTTGTTATATCTGTTTATAAACCTTTTCTGCTGCAAATTAAAGCCTTTGTTGGATTCTCAGATAGAATGGAGAACAACTGGCCATTGTCCTCCATATTAGGGCTCTAGACTCTGATTGTTGGTAGATTACCTTTAGCCTTTTCTCACCCAAAATGATCACTCTTTCTCTTCCTGTGGTGTCCCATGGCCAAGTCTTTGTTTTCGTTTTTGTCACTTTTGTGCTAACTCATATGTAGGCATTTAGTATCAATGAAACTGGCAACATTGCTCTTATATTTTTCTTAGGGGAGAAAAATAAACCAAGTCCTTCCTCTACCTCATCTCTTCCCCAGACCCCACCAAAAACAAACAAACAAAAAAACTTTTGTTTCCACTGGAGCTTATTGTGTAAATTCTGAGTTAAAGAAAGCACTTCTTTACTAAGAGTGCCAAGGTCCAGTCAAAAGAGCCTGTGAGTTAAATAATCAGAACAGGAAGTAGTCAGGAAGGGAGTCTCTGACTTACAGCTGCTGAGGAAAACATGGCTGCAAAACTGTTTTCTTAGAACAGGTCTGTGAGGAGCTACCTTATTGGCACTCATGTTGATAAAGGAATTTGAGCAGGCCTTTCTCATGTTCCCATTCCCCAAGTGCATTGCCTGTTACAAATACATCTTGACATTGAGACTTCTCTAGGAAGTGAGCAAGATAGGCAAGCATATGTATCTAGTATGTAAAGAGTACTACTCCATAGAAATGCCTTTGACCAATGTCACTCTTCATATCAAGCTGGGCATATAAGCAGCCCAACTATTCTAGATCTTTCTATTTCAGACACATTTTTTTAAAAAATAATCTACTACCATATCCCAAACATGTCTCTCCATATTTCCTGCCACCTGTGTACCTTAGAAGATTTTCCTCCTCTGGATATCTTCACCATGGGAGTTGTTCCAAGTTCTCCTGTGCCTGAAATCATTCCATAATGTAGTCACACAAGGGCTTTATTTTCCATTTGTATCTGGATGATTCTAAGAAGACCTCATTTCTTTTTTAATTGGTGCATCTCAACTATACAGAATGGTGGATTTAATAGTTGTTTATTTTCATATACATAAAAACATGATTTGAGCCAGGGTGCAGTGGCATACTCCTGTAATCCCAGCAACTTGGAAGCTGGGGCAGGATGATTGCAAGTTCAAAGCCAGCCTTAGCAACTTAGTAAGACCCTATGTAACTTAGCAACTTGTCTCAAAATTTAAAAATAAAAAAGCTAGGTATGTGGCTCAGTGGTTCAGTACTCCTGGGTTCAATCCTCAGTATATAAATGTGTGTGTATATATATGCTTTGATTAATTTCAAAATTAATTCTGCATCTCCCATCCTCCCATCCCATACTATCTCCTTCCACCCTAATGGTATCCCTTCTGCTTTCATGTCATCCCTTTCCCCCCCCGCCCTATTTTTCTCCTCTAGATTCCACATATGAGGGAAGACCCCACTTTTGACCATTACTTTAAAGCTTGCTGAACCTCCTTTCAGACCTTCTTTCCACTTCCTTCCTCTTTTTGTCTGAGATAGAAACTAGAAAAACTAGCTGTATTGGGTTAGATAATTATTTATTTGCTCTCATCATCCCAAGGTGGAGATGCTCTTAAGTAAGCAAGACACTAAAAGGCAGGAAGGTGGGGCTGGGGATGTGGCTCAAGCGGTAGTGTGCTCGCCTGGCATGTGTGCGACC